GGGAGGAAGCGGGTAGAGGGAGGGCGAGGAAGGTTTTGGTAATGGTCCACAAAAATCAACCGTATGGTATATTGATAAAATAAAGTAAAATTAAATAAATAAATAACTAGATAGATAAATAGATAGATAGATAGTAAATAAATAAATAAATAAATAAATAAACAAACAAACAAATTAGTTGTGAGAATGACCACAAGAGGGCAGGTCTCATGTTGGGATCTGAAACCCGCTTTTGACTGTCTAAAAAAAAAAAAGATCATTCACTATGATCAAGCTGGATTCACACAAGGATGCAAAGAGGAACGTAATGTAAATCAACATACCCGAATCAATAAACTTGATACATCACATTAACAGAATCAAGGATAAAAACCATATGATCATTTCAATACATGCAAAAGATGCATTTGATAAAATTCAACATCCCATCATAATAAAAACTCTCAACAAATTAGGTATGGAAGGAATATACCTCAACACAATAAAGGCCATATATATATATAAAGTAGGTGGATGTAAAGGCATAGGATTTTCTGGAAGGAGGCTTAATTTGAGTGATCATGGTTGTGTCTGGTGGGGCACATCTGTAGCCCCGGGGTGAAAGAGGAGAGAAAGGAACACTAAGGGTATGGAAATTCTTTTCAGGATGATGAAAATGTCCTGGAACTAGATAGTGGTACAATGCCCAGTGTTGTTAATGTACTAAAAGCCACTAGATTGTACACTTTAAATGGTTAAAATGGTGAATTTCATTTTACATGAAATTTACTGCTTAAATTTTTGCCATATATAAATTTTATTTATATTAAAATTTTGTTTTAACTTTTGTATTAACTTTAAAAATATTTAAGATGGATGAGGTATTGGATACTGACAAGAAAACAAGCAAAGAATATGATCAGGTTACTGACAATAAAACCTAGACAATGTCTGGTTGTAGTAGGTTTTTTAAATAAATAGCAATTGAATGAAGATATTAATAAACACAAATAATTTATAAGAATATGAAAAAGTAATCTCTAATATAAAGTAATATGTGTAACTAAAATAATGATACAGTGTGTTTTACCTATTAAATCAGCAAAACAAAACAAAACAAAAAACAACAGAAAACCCCAGTCTTGGCAGTGCTGCAGATAAACCACCACTCTCAGAACTGGCAAAAAATTTTCTGGAAACCAATTTCAATATATACTAAAAGCATATAACAATCCAACATACCCTTTGATTCAGGCATTTTCACACTTAGTGTTGTAATTAAGTAACCATGATGTGGAAGGTTATTTAAGACAGTATCATTTATAAGAGCAAATAAAAGAAAAGAAAAACCAAACCACACACACACCAACAGTTATCCATGAATAATGCATGATTTAAATAAGTTGTACATTGAAATGCTATGCAAATATATATATAGAACAATTTCTAATTAAGTGAGAAAATACTCGTAATACTATAAGAGAAAAATTTATGAAAATATATTAGTAAGATCTGTTTCTTGAAAATATGCTCATGTAAGGATGAACAGAGGAAAATTAGAAATGTATTAATAGTAGCAATATATGAAACAGCTTTTAGTAACTGTGCTAAATGCTTCATAAGCCACATGAAGTGAGCAGAATTAATATGTCAATTCTACAGATGAGAAAATTTAGTTTCAGTGAGGTTGTGTAACTTGCCTAAGGTCCACACAGCTAGTCAGGGGTGGAGCTGGAGTCTGAGTCTCCAATCTAGGCTCTGTGCGATTCTAAACAGGCCTTGTCACCTGTCCTGGGCACAGGACCCAGCATACAGAAGGTGTTCCATGAACTTTTGTAGGAAAAAAGGAAGGAAAACTAAAAGAGAAGAGGAAAGGAGAGAGGGCTGCACCTGGTGTTTTTGAGCTTCGAGACTTCGGCATTGACGCTGCAAAGCCTCTGCCTCAGGATCCACAACGTCCAACTTAGGAGGATCGAGTTGATCTACAAAGTCAAGCAGAAGGTACTGAGAGACTGGACACACAAATGGACAATGGCCAGATCATCTATAAAAACAGAACTCTGACCCACAATCTGCAACAACCACTCCAAGAAGCTGAACAATAACCCTGCAGCAATCAGCCCGAGATGACCAGGTCTTGATTAATAACTGACAGCTTCCCTAATTTCTGTCCCCATAACAAACTTAGGACCAACATAAGATAGCCAACATGCACCCTTAACCAATCACATAGGATACCCTGCTTCTAGTTAGCTGCCTACATCTTTCCCAAGCCAACAGCCTCCCGTCAGGGCGTACCTGAAGCCTTCCCTTTTATTCCACTGTAAATCTTTCCCACTCCTCTGCCTGCTCTTGAGTTTACACCCAACACAAGTGATGGCTGCTGACTCCCTTATTGCTATACTCCAGCAATCTCTGAATAAATACCCCTTGCTTGTTCTCATGGGGGTGGTTCATTTCCAAAGGATGCATCTGGTAAGTTAGGACACAGACTGTGACCTTGAGTGAAGTGTTTATACTCTTCTAAGGCCCTCCCTCAAAAGCATCTCACCCTGGAGTACACATACTCCAAATGCACGTTTCTCCACCTTGCCATATTGACACGTAGGGTTGGGTCATTTTGGGGGGGAGGGGCTTGGTTCTATCCAGTGCATAGTAGCATGTTGAGTGCCATCCCCGGCCTCTACCCACACTGCATGCTAATAGCAACAGCCCTCCTAGTTGTGACGACCAAAAATGTCTCCATATTTTGCCAAGTGTCCCCTGAAGGGCTAAACTGTCCCCATTGAGAATCATTGCCCTAGGGGAACTGTTATTTCCAAATGAGTGAAACTTCTAGGAAGCCCAATGTCCTTGAAGATTTGGGAATGGGCAGGATAAACATTCCATTATTATGGTCATCATCATTATTATCATAATCCCCATGATTGTTCCATCTAGTATTTATTGAGCGCTGGCCAGTGTTGGGAGTTTTACTACCTCACATGCATGGTTTGTTCACCACTGTCTCACCCGTGAGGGAGGTCTGGAGGGGAGAGCGCTGCATTTTGAGGGAGCAGGAAGTTCACTGGTACAGCCAGAGGACTGAACATGCAGAAAAGGAGCAGAAAGGGACCCAAGCGAAACTGGGCAGGGACAGTTAGTAAAGAATCTTAGGCGTCAGGCTCAAGGGGTAGGCATCCCCTTGAGGGAAATGCAGAAACCGCAATGGGTTTCAAGCAGAGCAATATCAGGGTCAATTTTGGGTTTTAGGAACATCACTCTGAAAAACCTTCTCACTGCAAAACCCTGAACATGCTAGACAAAATTTGACATCCTTTTAAAAGTAAAACTAAGTTTGCAAGAAAATAAAAGAAACCCCCAGAGGACATAAACGAAGAGTAATTATGAAACCAGAACACTGTAGCTGCTCCAGCTGAAACCAGGAATTGAAAGCCATGAGGATTTAATGTTCATTCATGGGGACAAGGGGCGAGCCCTTGATTCCACATAAGGTGGAGAGACCACCAAATAAAGTTAGAACCACACCCCCACTGAAACGGGTGAACTAGGAAAAGGGATTTTGGGAAACAGAGAAAACAAGGTAACTTTTCTTTGTAGGCTCTGAATCTTAGTGAAGAAAGAGAAAAGAAAATAAGAGTGGGGAGGGATGGAAGACAGGAGGGGAGCAGGAGGGAAGGGGAGAGGAGAGAAAGGAACCACAGCTCTGACCACCATGGGCTGGGAATTCAAATTTTCATGGCCTTCATAGTCTAGGAAGCTCTGAGATGAGAAATGCATTTAAAGTTGTTTCAGGTTGGTAAGGCCTTGTGTGAACGTTGGTTATACAAATTGAGTTATTCTTATACCCAAACTAATTAGAGTCGAGGGACCTTGGGCAGATGGGGTGGCCAGAAGCATTCAGGATGCATAGCACCAGCTCCAAGAAGAATTTCTACAAGCCCAGCTGCTGAAACAGCTTGCTGTTACCCTAAGACCAGCTTGACCTAGAAGCTGCTAAAACACCCTGCCATGATTCCAAGTTTAGTTTCACTTACCACCGTCACTCACTAATCAGAGCCAGCCAACCCCCCAAACTTCACCTGTGCCAGTTAGCTTTCTTTCAAAACAATACACAGTGTCTCTCTTTCTAATAAAACTCCCAACCCCCCCCCTTTTTTTTTTGTTCTTTGGACATACGGGAGACCTCCCTGGTCTGTGTATATGCCCTGAATTGCGATTCTATTTTCCCAAATAAAACGTTCTTTTTAGAGATTGGTCTGTATATTTTTATTTGACTTTGACACCTGTTATGGATTGAATTGTGTTTCTGAGAAAAGAAAAAGATACCCTGAAGCTCTAATTCCCAGGACCTCAGTATGTGACCTTATTAGGAGGTAGGGTCTTCACAGAAGTAATCAAGTTAAGAGGTCTTTAGAGTGGGTCCTAATCCAATATGACTGGTGTCCTTATAAAAAGGGGAAATTTAGACAAAGAGACAGACATGCACAGGGGGGAGATGTCTATGTACAAGCCAAGGAATGACAGTGGCTGCCAGAAACTGGAGAAAAGCTGGAGCAGATCCCTCTCCAGTGCTGTCAGAGGATGCGTGGCCCTGCCGGTACCTCGATTTCAGACCTCAAGGCTCCAGAACTGCAAGGCAATAAATTTCTGTTGCTCAAAGCCACCCAGTATTGGTACTTTGTTATGGCAACCCTAGGAAACTAATGCCTGCCCTCTGCTCCCAAACCTGATAGACATCAAAGCAAAACCTCTCTGGAAGAACACAACCTCAAGCATTCCCGAGATGTAGATCAACATAATATGAGCTCACAAACAACTACAGATAGATCTATCTCACAATCTAGCAATCCCACTTCTGAGTATATATCCAAAGGAATGCAAATCATCATGCCGTAGGGATACCCACACTCCAAGTTTCGTCGCAGCTCTGTTTACAATAGTCAAGAGTTGGAACCAACCTAAATGTTCACTGATGGACAACTGGATAAGGAAAATGTGGTGTGTATATATACAAAGGAATACTGATCAGCCATAAAAAAGAATAAAATTCTGCCATTTGCAGCAACATGGATGAGCCTGGAGAAAAATTTTTTAGGTGAAATTAGCCAGGCATGAAGGGAAAAATACTGCATGTTCTCATTCATAAGGGGGAGCTAAGAGAGAAACAAGAAAGGAAAGAAAGACCACAGTGGTGTAATTGGACTTGTTTTGGACTTGCAGAGGGAGAGAACAGAACTAAGGTTGCTGGGGAGGTGAGGGAAATAGGGGGAGGGGATCGGGGAGAGGTTAGGTGGGGGACACAGGGAATAATTGCAATTTGAGGTGGTGGGCATGCTGATAGTATTGATCTGATCATCACATCTAGGGCACAGGTGCTGACAGTCAGCTCGGTGCCCCATGAATATGTATAATCAATAAAAAGTTTTTTAAAAGATTGTGTACATAATCGTATCTTTAATTCAGTGACTGTCATTTGGTACATGTTCAATAAATGTTAGATATTAAAAAAATAAATTACTAAATCATATTAAGTTAAGACTTCATTGGGTTCTTCCAGACAAGTTAAGCTTAGTTCTATGCCACAATAAAATTAACAGCAAAATACAATAAAAAATATATACACACACACACATACATACATAAGATGAGCTCACAATTAAAAGTTGCAAATGACACAAGGAAACATGCCACCATGAATGAGAGTCAGAAGAAATGACATCTGGCAGGACTGTAGAGTCTGGATTAGAAGCAAGGAGGCAGAGATGCTGTTTAATATCCCCAGGCTTCCCTGCAGAGATGCTGTTTAATACCCCCAGGTGCCTCTGTCCACCATTTCTCTCTCTTGTCTCTCTCCTTCCTCTACCATTCCTCCATTGCCCTAAATTTCTTTTTACCTTTTCTCCCATTCAACATCTGTGCCTAGGAAAGATTGATAGACCCATTCCTACTGAAGCACTAAGACGGATAAGCCTGTGGTTCCTTCCAGGGGCGTCTGCAGTTTGGCATGAAAAAAAAATCACAAGTCAAAGAAATGACACTCTAATTTGCATTTCCCTGATGACTAGTGATGTTGGGCATTTTTTCATGTATCTGTTGGCCATTTGTATGTCTTCCTTTGAAAAATGTCTATTCAGCTCCTTTGCCCGTTTTTTAATTGGGTTAATTGGTTTTTTTACTGTTTAATTGCTTGAGCTCTGTGTATATTCTGGATATTAATCCCTTGTCAGATGCATAGTTAGCAAAATTTTTCTCCCACTCTGTAGGTTGTCTTTTCACTCTGTTGATTGTTTCCTTTGCTGTGCAGAAGCTTTTTAGTTTGACATAGGAGAGAACATTCCTAGGGCTACAAAGTGAACTGGGAGGGAAAGGGAGGGAAGTTGGGGGATAATTGGGCGGGGGACACAGGGTACAAAAGCAATTTCTACTAATGGGTATACTGCCAGTAGGAATCTGGCCCTCACATCATGGGCATGAGAGGTGACAACTAGCTTTGTCTTTCATGAATATTCATAATAAATAAAATAAAATAAAATAAAATGGTACCTTTAAAAAAATTGCACTCTAACTTGGAAATCTCATGAATCAAAGATCACAAGAGGAAACATCTTAGGGGAACAAGGGACTTCCTCATCCGTGTGCTTCACTGGCACCTTCTGATCCTTCAAGTCTCCCTGCTCCTCCTCCAGAACACACTTTGCCAAGCCATTTTCTTACCATTATGATTGCACACACTGGCCCCAAGAAACTCCAGATGAACCCCATCTCTGTATTCAGCCAGCAGCTGTGGAGAGAAAGAGGAGTCAGTGCTTGTCTCAGAGTCTTGACCTTACATTTACTCCTGACCCAACAAATTCGTTAATGGAGACTATCGGCAGGTGAGACTAGGATGAAAATCCTCATAATGGGGTGGACTGTATTTCATTTTCCTTTGGACCACAGTGCACCCTCTTTCAGACCTTCCTCCTGGGCAAATTTCCTAAAATGTTCACTGAGTGCCTTAGGTCAAGATCATTCTTAATTCATAACCTTTGTAATCCGTTCTCCCTTAAGTCCTAACTCACAACTGGTACTCACCTTGTCATTCAAATCTCAGCCTCAACCGGGGAAAGTCGAACCCAGCTGCAATTAGAAAAGCTGACACAACCGCCNGATACCTTTAAAAAAGTTTGCACTCTAACTTGGAAATCTCATGAATCAAAGATCACAAGAGGAAACATCTGAGGGGAACAAGGGACCTCCTCATCCGTGTGCTTCACTGGCACCTTCTGATCCTTTGAGTCTCCCTGCTCCTCCTCCAGAACACACTTTGCCAAGCCATTTTCTTACCATTATGATTGCACACACTGGCCCCAAGAAACTCCAGATGAACCCCATCTCTGTATTCAGCCAGCAGCTGTGGAGAGAAAGAGGAGTCAGTGCTTGTCTCAGAGTCTTGACCTTACATTTACTCCTGACCCAACAAATTCATTAATGGAGGAGACTATCGGCAGGTGAGACTAGGATGAAAATCCTCATAATGGGGTGGACTGTATTTCATTTTCCTTTGGACCACAGTGCACCCTCTTTCAGACCTTCCTCCTGGGCAAATTTCCTAAAATGTTCACTGAGTGCCTTAGGTCAAGATCATTCTTAATTCATAACCTTTGTAATCCATTTTCCCTTAAGTCCTAACTCACAACTGGTACTCACCTTGTCATTCAAATCTCAGCCTCAACCGGGGAAAGTCGAACCCAGCTGCAATTAGAAAAGCTGACACAACCGCCCCGGGGCCCCGCCGGGGTCCTGAGGCTTGGAGCCTGGGGAAGCTGAACCCAGCTGCAACCAGGTTAAGAGCACACCCAAAACAGCATTTCCACGCGGGTAGCCCACCATAGCCACCGCAATTGTCACGGCTGCCACCAAAGTGGCTAGTCTCTATAGCACAGTCACAGCCACTGCACAGGTGGCATGCCAGGCTCTCAACTGCATTGACACAGGGAGAGGCACCAGTGGAAGCCCCCCAAAAGAAGAGATCCTCTCTCTGCACAAAGCACACTCCAGAGGAATAGAAGGAGCATCTAATTTACAATAATAGGGGAGGACTCGATCACACCTGTCTCAGTACTGGACAGATCATCTAGGCAACAAACCAACAGAGGAAGAGTTAATCTATCAAATGGAGAGAACAAATCTATAGTTATTAAGGGAGTGAGGGGATATAGAGGGGAAGGGGATTATAATAAAACTTCAAGACTAAGGCAAAAAAAAAATCAGTTCAAATGTCACCTCTTCTGAGAAGCCACCCCTGACTACCCTTAGCTAAAGTATCCTATCTCCAGCCCTTATCACTCTCTAGCAGAGCTCACTGCATTTCTTTTAATAGCAGCTATCAGTATCAGAAATTATCTTGTTCAGTAGTTTGTGTACTTGCAAATTGTCTTCTGCTAGACTGTGATCGGCGTGGACCTTTAGGTGTTTTGTTCATTTCTGTATACCCAGCACCCAGCAAAAAGGTTGGCAAGCACCAGGCACTTTACAATTGTTTGTTAAAAGAAAGGGAGGGAAGAAGGGAGAGAGAAAATGAGGGAGGGAGGGGCGGAGGGAGGGAGGGAGGAAGGAAGGAAGGAAGGAAGGAAGGAAGGAAGGAAGGAAGGAAGGAAGGAAGGAAGGAATTGCCTCTTTCTATCATGTCTCTAGTGTGTATTAGCTGCTTTAACACAACAACCCTTCTGCCTTGTGCAATAACAGCACCCCAATATTCCTTTAGTAGAAGTATACTAAATACTTTTACTAAAGAATTACACACACACACACACACACACACACACACACACACACAAGAAGGAAAGCAATTAGGTTAGGCCAACCAGATATTCTCCCCTTGGAATATGATTCTCAAGTAGTAGTGACCCCTGGATTTGTACAATGCACACCTGTGCTGTTGTACACAATGTCCCTGAAACAAACAGCTACTGCTAATGTTGCAGCTCTTCTTGTTTGCGGAATTATCATCACGAACCCCAGTAGCAGGGTCTTCAGGGAGAGGGAGGCTGTCACTCACCGATCATGCATCCCGTAGCCCTGTGGCTGCATGCTGGCAGAGATCGCCACCACCAGCCCCGGGAGCCCATAGCCATAGAAACAGAGGTACGGCATCTTGATGTTGCGAGAGCTGAAGTAATTCACCACCATCAGGTTCCTGGCCATCAGGAAGAGCATCACAGCTTCTACCAGCATCCAGAAGAAACAGGCGAGGAAAAGGTAGTGCAGAACGCCCGCGATGACGGCGCAGCCCGTCTGGAGAGGGGAATCGTGCACATAAGGAGGAGGGGAAGATGGGAAGAGGAAAGGGGAGGGATTACCTTGATTGGAGTTCCCCACGTCTGGCCCATTCGTCCATTTCACCAGTATTCATAGAGACATACTGTGGCTCCATCCCTTGGTAGAAAGACCCCATCGTCCTGGTTTGCCCAATACTGAGGTTTCCCAGGACATGTGGCTTTCAGTGCTGAAACTGCAAGAGTTTTGGGAAAACTGACAGTTGATCTCCCTTCTTTAGGGACTGTTTGAAAATACGGGAGGAGGTGCTGGCTGTAAGTAAAGTTTTATTGGCACACAGCCACACCCATGTATGTGTGATCTGTGGTTGCTGTCATGCCACAACAGCAGAGTCGAGTAGTTATGACAGAAACCATATGGTTTGCAAAGCTGAAAATATTTACTACCCGACTCTTTACAGAAAAAGTTTGCCCATCCTTGGTCAAATGATGGGGGGAGGGGACACTGCCAGCATTTAGTTTTCAAGGGTTCAGGGAAGGTAAGCATCCCACAGTGACAGAGATAGTTCTTCATGAAGAATAATCATCTCATTCAAAATGTCAATAGTAGGGGCTGGCCAGTTAGCTCAGTTGGTTAGACCATGGTGCTGATAACACCAAAGTCCAGGGTTCTATCCCTGGACTGGCCAGCTACAAAAAAAAAAGTCAATAGAGCTCCCTTTGGGAAACCCTGAGAGCTTATATTGGGTCTGGAATGGTTATAGGAGGTGAACTGGTCAAAGATCTTGCCCTCATGTGGAATGCAGACCTGGTTGCCCGTCTTGTCTATACCGATGAGGAAGAGAATCTTGGCCAAGAAGAGACACACACAGAGGTGCAGGTGGATGTAGGTGTTGTTGTTGCGAATGGAATGACACAGCAGGAAGGTGGCGATGGCCAAGACGAGACACACCAGGGAGATGATCATGCCCACGTGGCTAACGATGAACAATGAGAGCTCCATCTGTCAGGAAGGAGATTTGCTGTTGGTCTCAGAATGGAATTGAAATCCCCCCAGGCAGGAAAAAGAATTATCCAGACTTCTAGTTTGAGCAGAAAAGGCTCAGAGCCTCTTCCCCCTCTGACATACAGAGGAAACTAGATATTGCCCACTGTTATCTTTTGCAATCCACTGGCATCTTTCAGCATCCACTTCCACCCCTGTATGTGCTCCACAGCATGTATTTCAGGGGCTGGACATCTACAAATGACATGCACCAGAATCCCTTGGGGCTAAGATCCTGGATGTAATTTAGATTCTCTGAAGACTTGCATTTGTGAAAGTTTTGGAAGGCAGAAGGGAGGCAAATACCAGCTTTCTGCAAAAAGGAGTGAACTGTGGCTGGACCCCAACTGTCCGATCCCCAATTTCATGGGGGTGGGGGTGGGGGAATGCGATGGCAGCAATTTCTGACCTCTGGATTCCAACTGCAGGGGGGTGACCTTGAAGACAAAATCCAAGTAGCAGCTCCCTGACTTCAACTCCTCCATCGCTTTCCAGAGATTTTGTGATTACCCAATTCCCAGTGTTAAATCCCTTTCTGCTTGAAATACCTGGAGTGGTTTCTGCTTCCTGCACTAAATCCCAACTGATATGCAGACATTCAGGGATGCTGCAACTTCTGGGAGTGAAACATGACAAGCTAAGTCCTTCTCCTATGTTATTCATTCATAATTAATTTTAAAATCAATTTTAAACTTACTTGAGTGCTCTCTGTAAAGATATGTCAGGCACCATCTCATGAGCCTCTATGACACTGGCACAAAATGGCTAAGAAAACTGACTACAGCTCTGCTGGTTTCCAGCTGTATGAGTTTGAACTAGACATTTAGCTGTTAAATGCCTGTGTCCTCATCTGTTAAAAAGAGGATATTAATAGCTGAGCTGCCTTATAGGGTTGTTTTAGGGTTAAATAAAAATACTTAAAATATCTACAACTGTGCCAGCACTCTACACTATATAAGTGTTAGTTATCATTTTTTTTTCCCTGTTCTCATTTTTGAGATGAGTGAGCTGGCCTCAGCTCAGAGAGGTTGAGTGACTTGCCCAAGGAAACACAGCTAGGAAGTGATAGATATGGGACTTGAAACCAGGTCGGTCTTTTTTCTTTTTTTAAACTATCAATTATCTTTATTTAAATTTTCATTTTGAGAACACAAGCATAAACCAGGATGCAATATTTAGGTTGTATATATTAAAGAAATTTTGAGAATGAGGTCTGTTATAGATAACATTGAGAGATATAAAACTCACATTTACAAATTTTCACTATATTATTTGTAACACAAATTCTTATCTGAGTTAAATTTTTGTCCCCATACATTTTTTAAAAGAAAAGAACCACAAACCTTCAGAGGAAAGTGAAATAAATATGGTCTTTCCAATGAATTATATACTTCATGAAAGCAGGGAATACATCTCTTTTGTTCATTAAATAAATGATTTTAAATTAAAGCAAAATTACATTTAGCAAATTAAGTAGCAATTAGTTCCTAAAAGCCTACTCAGAGCATAGTAGCATGCTAAATATCTGGGAGTACAAAGAAATATAATACTAATCTCTGCACTCACCAGGTCAGTCTTCCTCCAGATCCAGTTCTGTTGTTCTAAGCCACATGGTCCACTAAATAGTATTTAGGGCCTCCGTGGCAGGGAATTTAACCTCAGGTCTGGCATGATAGGCAAGGGTACTCTCCACAACACTAGTGAGGTCTTTCCCCTCTACCAAATCTACCCTTCACCAAAGCTCACTTCATATTTCATGTCCTCCCTGATATGGCACCATCTCTCACTGAAACACCTCTGAATTCCTGTAGCACAATCTCTTGCTCCGTTTGTATGGTTTAGTGGAAAAAGAATTTGGAGCCAGGCTTCCCCGGGTTCAAATCCCACCTCTATCAACCACTAGCTTCCGTTTGTATGGTTTAGTGGAAAGAGAATTTGGAGCCAGGCTTCCCCGGGTTCAAATCCCACCTCTATCAACCACTAGCTTCATGACTAGTCAGGCTCCAGAGCCTCAGTCTCCCATCCTGTGAAATGCTTCTAAAAACTCTTAACTTAAAATAAAGGGTCCAGCAC